CACCCCATCAGGGCAGTGCTACTGACTGAAGTTGTCTTTAGGCTATTCCCAAAGGCGGGATATTAACATGTTCTTATGCACAGTAGAATTGTAAATGGGCTGATTTATCAATGTTACAATCATACTGTGCCACAACAACATAGGGGGAACTGTTGCTTTTTCTTTCCTAATCCTTACTTTACTATCGTCATTTTTACTCTACATTGTTTGTATGCTTGTCACTCTCTCTTGTGAACTATCTCCAGGGTGCCTTGATAGTCGAAGCAGACTGAGCTGTTGAGGCTAGAGAGGAGAGCAGAGTAAACCAGCTGATTTCCCGTTTGGACTTCTCTGTTGACATCCACCCCTTAGCGCTCATACGACCTAATGCAGTTGCGAGCATCGTAAAACCTTACTAAAGCTTAACTAAAACTCGTATGATACCCATGACCTTACCTTTAATCTAAACCACGGGTCTCGAACTCGCGGTTTCGGGGCCAATTATATATGGAAATTGAGGCCCAGAGGACTACTATTTTGCCACCCTTCTCATCAGTTTATCTCACTCGGTGATAGAATCTAGTTTGTAACACATTGGTAAGTAATTTTACTCGGTCAGTTGAGTTGGTAAGCCAGTAGAAACACAACCAGAACGCAAACCAACAACAATGAAAATAAAACGAATGACGTCGGCACCACTTTTTGTGATGTTTTCGTGACCCCGTGTGGCCGTTTGAGGGCCGTGGAGGATTGGGGTGAGGGGGCACCCTTTGCCGCAGATAAGACCTCCTATAACAATACAACATAACTGTACAGTGGGAAACTATCTCAGAAAAATCAAGTACCAACTTATAAAATACAAAGACAAAAAACAACACGGCCACATTTCCCTCACCTCTGCGTTTGGTGAGTCTCACCCTCCCTCTCAACTGTCAACAATCTGTTTGTGGGGCAGCGGACTTGGCGGGTGTTGCTTTGTTGCCTCAAAAACAACCACATCCACACGTAGGCCTTGGCTTGGCGATTCCGGTCACAACACTCAGTCGAGATAAGACCAGGTTAGTTAACACAGAAGCCGTATTGTTACACCAGATGGAAAACTGACCTCTGACTTACATCAGTGGCGGGTTGAGAGTGAGTTCAGGTCTAGATCTAGATCTACGTTGTGGTCTCCAGCAAACACAGCGATTGTCCTGATCCTCAACACACGACTCCGCTGACCGAGTTTCCGCTAGTTTCTGCAGCGTGGTCGAACACGGAGATCTATTTCAGGAACAAAAATTCGAGCTTAACGATTGGCTCAAACTGGGGGCGTGAGCTCAATACTGTTCAACCATTGGCTGACGATAAGTTAGTCGGGGCGATGAAGGTCGATACGAGGCACAATTTGTAAACAAGTTTCTTAGACTTCGGCCCTGGAGACAATTAATCATAGCTGGCACAGTATGACGTTTGCTTTCTGTACTTCCTTTAGCTCAGTCTTTGAATTCTGAGAACCGTCCGGCCAAACCTTTGGCAGCTTCGACAAAATCGGAGTAGGCCCCACGTTGAACAATAATGAAAGCTTTCAAAGCAGATGTTTCAGCTCTTCCGCATAGTTGGCATATCGTCGTATCACAAAGTTTTATACAACTACAAATATTTTTTAACAACAATAAGCAATAGAGTTCGATTGTGCAACACACACACACACCAATCGTTAATCTGAAGCACTTCTTGCCGTACGGTATGCAGAAATTATTCCCGACTTTGGCACCGGCAGAAAGAGCCTTCGCCGACGCATGTACACGTGACATAAAACGTGCGTCAAGCA